TGTATTGAATCTGTATTGAATCTGTTTTAAATCTATTTGTGGAATCTATTTAATTTGTTTTAAATCTGTATTGAATCTGTATTAAATCTATTATTTAATTTTTGGAATTAAATCTATCTGTGTCTGTATAATCTGTTTTTTGGAATTAAATTTGTGAAATTGAATCTGTTAACTTGATTCAATCTGTTAACTTGAATCTGTGAAAAAAAAAAGGTCCAAAATAAAGATTGACAAAATGGGGAAAAAAAAAAGGGTTTAAAAATAAATTTTTGGAAAAAAAGTTCAATCCGCAAACCGCCCGCAACCGCCTGCACATCCGCGAACCCTATCCACACAAACCGCATTGCGGGCGGTTGCGGGTTGACTTTTCCCCAAACCGCATAAATGCGGGCGGGTCCAAACGAAACCGTAAACCGTTCCAAACCGAACCACGGACACCCCTAGTTGGGACTTTATTTATGCACTTTGATACACCTTTCTTCAGCCACTTTCTAGGCCTAACCGTGAGAGAGAGAGGGAAATAGGAGAAAATTGAATTCATCTAGAATTCTTACTTGAATTTAGAAGACTTGAAGAGGAGATTGAAAAATTGGGCTTCCATACCTTGAAATGCAAGACCTAGGTAGGATATTCATCCTTTGGTTTATGTATTTAAGTTGTTACATGCTTGGTCCATGGTAAAATTGATGATTAGAGTTTAGAATTGGCTCAAAGTGTTGTATTAAGTAGCTATGGTTGCATGCATGTCCATGTCATTGAGTTTTAAGGTCTTTTCTATGAAAATTTCTATATGCATGTTCATGTTTTTGTTATAGTCCATGAATTCACCTTGATTTTGAGCTCAATCTTACTTTTGGTCATGTTTTAAAGCATTGGAATTCATGTGAACTCATGCATGTTAAGTTCTTGCATTGTTCTTGAAATTCTTTGAAATTGTATTCAATTGACTTACCCTTGGGCTTTGATTTCACAAATTGATCTTCAAAACATGTTATATTGTTGGTTTTCAAGTGCTTTCCAGAAAATTGGCCCAAAAGGTTGAGTTTTGAGACGTTGAATGCTTGGTTTGAGCTTGGGAGGCAAATTTGGAAATTCCAGATTTTGGCTTCCTCGCTCGAGTGAAGGATTCCACGCTCGAGCAACCATCTTTTGTTCAAAGCTCCGCTCGAGCGACGGAATGCTTGCTCGAGCGTAGATTGCAAGCTCTCAGGTTTTTGTGCACGCAGACGCACGCTCGAGCGACAAGACCTACGCTCGAGCGAAGAGCTGTGTCTCACACTCGAGGGAGCATCGAGCGAGGATTTTCAACATCCAGTACTTTTGCATTTTTACAGACCGCTCGAGTGAGGAAGTATACGCTTAGGCGATCCCTCTGTTTTGGTAAGCTCGCTCGAGCGAAGAAAGCCATGCTTGAGCGAGACCCCTATTTCAGTAAAATTTTGAAAAGTGTTTTAAAGTGTAACTTTGCATCCTCATCCCATCCTAAGTATTCCTAGGCCATGTTTAAGGCATTTTAATGAGGATAATGTTATAGAACCACACCAAGTCATGTTAGGGGCTAAGTTATTAATCCCGAGTGTGTGTTCGTTCTACAAATGTAGGGTTGGAATCCGAGGATGCTCGTTAGCTTGTCTATAGCCCAGCACTCTGTGAGTAACAATGTTGTAAAGATACGTTCAATTATATCTATTTCTAAACTATTGACTGTACTGTTTTCTGAAATGACAATGCTTACTGAATGAATGTTTGTCCTATTTTTATGAACTGTACTCGTGGCATCCATAGCAACTTACTGTTAATGTACTGTTACTGTTACTGCTATTGTTACAGAGATCTCTGTCGATTCCAATGATTATAACTACTACTGTTTACTGTTATGATGGCCATCAACTGACTGTTCGGTCTGTTAAGACCTACTGTACTGTTTTGCTATTGGATGTACCACATATGACTGCTTTGGTTTCTAAATGACTGATATGACTGTTTAATTACTGAAAGGACATTCATTCTTAATCTCTTTATACAGTTGTTATTCACTGGGCTTTAGCTCACTGTTTATATTTATATGTAGGTGTCCAGGCACCAGACCGGAGCTAGGAGCGTCGGGTTAGCTCTTGTTTTATCAAGCCAACCACTATGCCTCACTTCGAGGTTCCAAATCTGTCAAGCCAAGGCTATTTTTGGGGTGTCTCAGTTTCACCATTCTGTCTCTGTTTGTAATGAATGTTTTAGACTTAACTGTACAGTTATGTTGGAGGGACTCGATCCCTAACCTGGATGTTATGTGCACTCGTTATGTAAATATGTTTTGGTTATGTATGTGAATATGTTCAGAAAAGTCTTTTTGCATATAGAATGTCACAGCTCATTGGACATCTTTCTATTACTGTTTGGCTTCCGCTAGTCCCTTACTCTGTATTACTATCATTTCTGTTAAGCAGGCCTTTGGTAATCACCGATTACTGGCCGGTTGCGATGCTAAACTCATAGGGACGGGTTTGGGTCGTGACAGTCAAAATGCCCGCTCGAGCGGAGGAACAAAAGCAAAGGGCCCGCTCGAGCGTGAAGGCCAAAATCTGGGCATCAACTCTTGGTTTCCAAACACAACCAACCTGTTTCAAACCTGCCCAACACAACCCAAGACTCAAATACAAGAGTAAAGGATGGGAATGAGAATAAGACAACAACCAACATCCACGGACCCGAGCCCGAAATACAGTTTAAACAAATAAGGAAAAACCGGGATCGCTATATTAAGGATGTTATAATGTTGTTTAATGTTGTATTTGATCTTTTAATATTTGTTTGTGTTGTTTAAACTTTTGGTTGTGTGAGAATTGAAGTATTCCTATTAAAATGTTAAATTTTTATTTAATAAGTTTCTTTGTTTTCTAATTTCTATGATGTTTAAAAAGAAATAATAATAATAATAATCGGGGCGTCACATAATTTATTTACAAAACAATTAAACTAATAAAATTTAGATAAATATATGATTTGTTAATCTATATATCTATCAAAAACATATATATCTAAATCTTTATTTGATTTACTGATTTTTTTTTCCCCTTCTATCACATGTTATCCTTTTTTATTTTGAATTTTTTATCTTATGAAATTTCCTTATCTATAACTTCTTATTTCCTCTTAAATTCTTAACATTCTATTGATAATTTTTATTATTTGTTATTACCTACCAAGTGATAAAGATAAAAAAAAAAAATAATAATAATAATAAAATTTGTTGGCTTTGAATGAAAATAGTATTAATAAAGAAACAATCAAGGCTGCATGGGAAGAGGTAGCACAAAAATCTCACAAAATTAATTTTTATCACTATATTTATCCAAGGTAATAATTTGATATTCTTTCTTTTAGTTGTTAAAAATAGTTTACATTAGATCATTTCTATGTGTTTTTTCTTTTTCTTTCTTTCTTTTTTTTAATAATGCTGTCATTTATTATAATATTTTTTCAATCCAATCTCTAAATTCTTTCTTTGAATTTTTTTTTTCAATAATAAAGTTTAGAATCAATTTCTTATCAAATTTGTTTTCTTGGTGCTTATTTTATTAAAGGATCGAGACGAGTAAAACTTTCATATTATATATAAAATTAATGAATATAATACAAAGATAGTAGAAAAATATTACATATTTGTCAATATCTCTCTATTATTATTAGTTGATTTGCTAGATTATAATATCAATTTAGAGCTCATATGATTTAATTTAATATCCATGACTTTAGTTGCATTCGACCATTTTTCTATTGAGTAACCCATATAATTTTTTTGTTGGTATATAATGATTAAAGCCATCATTTGTTATATTTCTTCAAATACAATTCAAATAATTTTTCACCATTTTTTTTTATAAATAAATGGATTAAAACTATTTTCTTATATAATTTTTATAATCTTTCGAAATTCTTATCTTGATTAATTTTTTTTAAATGTTATAGGAACTATGCAAGTATTACTCAAATTATGGAAAAGGATTTACACTTTGATATGATATGCATGTGTCATTGATAAATGAGATTAAAGATAGAGAGTTTCTAACAGGATCAACTAATGATTTGTTTGAGAAGTTCTTTTTATGAGTAGGGTAACAATCTTAGATTAAAAATTTTAAAAAACTACTTATAAATTATAATTAAAAGTTGACATTTTTTTCATAATTTGGTTCCACAATAATAATATGCACCACTGATTTAAAAGTCTAAATTTATGATAACTTTTTTGACTTTATAGAATTTCTCTCTTTTAATATATATATATATATATATTTCCTGCATGACACTATAGTTTGACACAAATTATTTATGTTATCAAATGATTGAGATACTATTATTCCTAACATTCTTTATAATTAACAATCTTTTTTTATATATATCAAAGTTTATTATGAAATTTTGTGAGTTAATTATTGTCAACATCTATCAAGATGGCCTAATATCATGACTTGCCGCTATTAAGACATAATTCATGATTAAAATGATTTATTTACCATACAAAATGTGTAGAGTCTATTTTTCCGTGCATCACATGGATTACTGCTAGTAACTACTAAATCAAAAGTTCAAATTACATAATGAAAAATGCTATGGACATTAAATGTTTTATTAAATATTCTATCAAATGTTGAGACCCACACCATATAAGTCACACACCCTATATGAAATATTTAATAAAATATTTGATGAAATATTTAAATTCCTAACATTACTCTTACCTAATGTCATATTATTAAATGATAATACTTATAGTAGTGATGATGTAGTGTCACCGTTGCATTTAAAAAAATATTTTCCCCTATTAATAGAGTGGATGTCAATACTTGCATTTGAGTTCCGAATTCAGAGAAAGTTATGGTTTGAAATGAAAACAGAAAAAACTGTCAAAACCCGAAAAGAGAGGCAGAGCGAAGACAAGAGAGAGAAACAGTGCGACAAACAATGGGAGCTATAAGATGGGAATGTGGAAAGGTCGAGGCTGTTTCAATTCTCAATATGGGATTTTCCGAATAATAATTTATACTCATATATTTTTTTTTCTTATAAAAAAAATATATATTTGTATTTTATTATTCTGAATCTCTCTTATTGAGAAACCAAAGCAACCAAAACAAAAATTCTCTCTCTCTGTGTGTCAAATCAAATCGCTCCTCCTACTCCCCCCATGGTGTTCCTTCCTTAACGTCCCCACCTCAATCAAGCTCTCTTCCCTTCTTCATTCCCATCACACCCCTTTCAGGTATCTCTCTCTCTCTCTCTCTCTCTATATATATATATATTATATTTTCTTTTTGTGGGTTTCTTCTGTTTGCTGATTTTTCCAGCCTCAGATTTGTTTTCTGTTTCTTTTTGCATTGTACGCTCAAATTTATGTTGGTTTTCTTTGATAACTCTGTTCATGTACTTTTATGTCTTTGATGATGAATGTGTATGATCTGTTTGATTGCTCTGTTTTTTAAGCCATATTTGATTCTTGAATTATGTATGTAACTTATAAGTTTTTTTTTTTTTTTTCAATCCCCTCCATTCTATCTCTGGAAACAAACGGGGCCTGAAGGATCTATATCTTGGTTTCTTCCTTTTGTGTATGTTAGCCACACTCTCTATCAAATGTTTGTTTATGTTTTGTTCTTGAATGTTGGCGTAATGCAATTTAATGTTTTTTTTTTTTTTTTAAATTTATATTATTCCCATTCTTGATTTGGAACCTACATTACTACATGTGTGCATCTATTCGGTTCAAATTTGAAGCTAATTTGAGAATTGAGGTTATCAAAATTAGCTTTAATTTTCCCAAAATTGTTGCTCCTTATAAATGTAATTTGGTTGTCAAATCTGGATTTGTTCTTGTTGGAGTATCATTCTAATTAGACCTTGAATCTCCCAAAAAAAAAAAAAAAAAAAGATTTGCTTTGGACAATATCATTTTTCAAAAAAAATTATCCTCTCTCTCTCTCCATATATATATATATATATATGTCCCTATATGTCAATGCACTTGTCATAGAATTATATAGAAATCTTGAGATATGATTTAATGATTAGAAGTACATTAGGACAGAAGGAGTGAGATATTTGAGAACACAAAATCTGGTATCCCGCCTCTTCCCTCTTAAAGCCTTGTTTGGTAGAGCTGTGGGAAAGTGCTTATAACTTATGCCTAAACAGCTTATAGCTTATAACTTTCAGCTTAAGCTGATTTCCAGCTTATTCTTAAAGCATCTTCTGCCCCACTCAAAGAATAAGCTGATTTCTGACTTCCACAAAGCTATAAGCTATAAGCTATAAGCTAAACCAAACGTATCAAAATAGCTTAAATTAAGCTGAAAGCTGAAATAAGCTGTAAATAATTTCTGCCAAACAGACACTAAATTCTACTTAGGTGGTCTTGAGATTATATATCAATGGTTGCCTCTTGCCTCTTAAATTTTGTTTCCCTATTTATTTATTTCCGCATTCAGTTCTAGGCTTCTAGCTATTTCGGCAGCTTAACCAGTACAGCATATACAGATCCTCTCCACTCCTTTTGTCTCATTAACACTAATCCAATCCTTCACTGTTTTACTTAAAAAATAAAACAAACTGATCTTATTTGGTTTCTCCAATGTAGTGGACGGAGATTTGATGAGACTTATGCATCTGGCGTCAAACCCTTTGATTTCAACCTTTGAATCCTCATCGCTATCGTGGTACCAAAAAAAAAAAACATTATGGCAATGGAGGACAACGGGGGAAGCAAGGTGAGTGGAATAAGGCAAATTGTTAGGCTGAAGGAGCTTCTCCAAAAGTGGCAATCTGTCACTCTTGGCCCAAAGGCTAACGACAATCACCACCATCACCGCCAACTCAGCTCTGACCGAACCCATGGGGGGATTTCACCAGCCATTAGTAAGAGACTGAGGAGCTTGAATCCGTCTTGTGATTCGGACGAGGATGGTTGCCAGAGCCCAGAACCGCCCCATGGCGTCCCCAAGGGATATTTGGCCGTTTATGTGGGCCCGGAGCTCCGAAGGTTTATCATCCCAACTAGCTACCTCAGCCACCAGGTGTTTAAGGTGTTGCTTGAAAAGGCCGAGGAGGAGTTTGGGTTTGATCATAGTGGTGGTCTCACAATCCCTTGTGAGATTGAGACCTTCAAGTACCTCCTCAAGTACATGGAAACCCATCAGGATGATCAACCTGATGACAACACAGGTTTGTCTCCATTAGTTTCGTAGTGTATGAAGCATGAGCAATTTTCTAAATATCATCGTATAGGGGTGTAATTATGGCCCGGCCCGGCCTACGCGGGCGTCACGAGCTCCTGCTTTTTGATGGGTCGGGCCAGGCCGACACATGGGCTGAAAAGTGGGGCCCAAGCCCAAGTCCAAGCCCACTCATAATTGGGCCTAGGGCCGAGACCGCGGGTTTGGGCTCGAGCCTAGCGAGTCTAGCCTCGAGCCGTGCCTGGTTTCAAACCAAAACCCTAGTTAGGACAAGCCCAATGGATACACCCCCACATCACACATAAATTTTCAAAAAACATATACACCACAAAACATTAAATTTCCATTTGTTTCGTTTCAACTTCAACGTATATGTATGCATGTGTGTAAATATTACAGAAATTGAATGGTACTTGAGGTGTTCTCTCAAGGAGAATGAGAAGCCTGTTTCCTGAGGACTCTCTTCTGATGTGGCGAGTCTGCAGTTCGTGGTGGATACATATACATAGCCTTCCTTCTTCCTCCATGGCAGTCCTAAACCCTGTGTGTGCTGTCTGAGCTAATATGTGTGTGTGGGTGTGATATGGTCGATTGGACTCGTAGGACAGAAATAATGTTTTTTTTTTTTTTTTTTTTTTTGGAGATATATTTTGGGGCCTGTATTTCATTTTTGGGGGGCCTGACATGTGCCCATAAATAACCAAATTGTTTGCCACTCTCTCTCTCAGTTTTTGCATTTTATCTTTTTATATATATACATATATACTATAATTTTAAGTGGTTCTTATGATTGAATTTAATTTTGTGTCAATTAGGTCTAATGGGGTAACACCGATTAGATTTTCGAAGGGAAAAATAATTACAAGACAATTGAAGTAATACATTTGAGTTGAATAAGTTTATTTATTTATTTATAAAAGTATGACACATGTCGTTTCATGTGCTAATTTTCATTCAGAAAACAATAACAATTTTATATATATATATATAAAAATTGAGACAAAATTATAAATTTATGTGCAAATAAAGTCAATTGAAAATTACAAAAACAAAAATAATTACAATGCAACAAAGTATAAAACTACTGATATAATTTGTTCTCGTTTTTTTCATTTTTGTTTTTGTAATTCAAGTTTATTAATTTTAACCAACTTTTATTTTTAATTCAATTTAACTACAATCTTCCATCTCATTCGTTAGTATATCATTTGAAACATCAAATAAAACGTGTGTTTTGATTGTAATTTATTCATGTTTTTATTGACTAGAAATTATTAAAATTCTGACGTAAGTTACAACTGTTATTTACATGTTAGTAACTGACAGGGTAGAGTCCCATAAAAGGCTATAGCCCCACTATGAACAACCCAAGCCACTACTTAAGGCCCAATAATAATTCAAAACTAAAGAAAGCCCCGCGTTGATACATCAACATGCATAAGAACCCAATGCCACAAACACCTGACAGGTAAAGGACATGCTACATATAGTAGACAAAAATCCTATAAAGTTATTGCACTGCACATAGCCATTAATTGATAGCCCCTTACAGCATTTATTGCGTCCCCTCCCCGTACGAGACAGTACGGCCTCCACCATGTAACAAAGCAAGCTAGAGCATTAGACTTTTCAGCCAAGATGGCAGGTCGGAAAGACAACGAAAATGATGATAACCAAAGGATATAAGCAGACGTCAAAAACAGAAGAATGTTAAGCTTTTATCTCAATCTCTCTACATTCCATCTCTCTTTCTAACTTGCTCGTCGGAGGGTTCGCTGAGGGACTCCCCGTTCTCCCGTTGGAACTCTTGTGCAGGTTCCACTGCGTACTTGGTATCTCAGACACTAGTTCGGGAAGCGTGCGTGC